CCTTTGGAGTCACCAGTGCAACCAGTTGCAAAATATGCTCATGCTCATTTGCTCGATAGCAAACCATCCACAAGGCACAAACACCACTCTGTCTCTACTACTCTCTTTCTTTCTTCGTTTAAAATACTCCCCAGAGTCCGCAGGTTTATGCCCTCTTCTTTCTCTCTTATTCCTCTCTTCTTCATAGCCATCATTGAACCCTCTCATGGTCTCTTGCCATTTTCTCATAATAGAGTCATTGCCCTAATTCTGACTTTTTTCCACTGTGTTTTTCCATTCTACTCTGTGGGTTAGACATATTCTCGCCGGAGCCAAGGCAGCATCGCCACTGAGCGACGATCCCTCTGCAGTTTTTTATGGCTAAGAAAGTATCTCTCTACATCTACTCCGAACCAAGCTGCTGACATCTTCTCGACATCTCTTTGAATTTTTAGATCCAAGCTTCACGTTTGTTCAAATCCGACGCTCAGCTTGCGGGGGGTGTTAAGGATATTTAGTACTAAATTATAGTTTACCATATATATCATATTTGATATTTTATTAAAGGCAAATATAGATATTTGTCTTATTACCATAGGTATCTTTCCATTTAATGCTCTTTCCATTTATTACTCTTTCCATATCCTTGTAATTTATTTGATTATAAATAGAGAACTTTCATATCATTTAAGTGTGGTGATTTCAACAAATATTCTCAGTGTGGACGCTGACACCTACGACAAATAGTTCTACCTAGCACTAGGGTTATTCCTTGAGAATTAGTACATTTTGAGGCGATTCAAGTCTGACAAGCTTAGACATGATTTCACTGAAGAATCATATAACAGAAAATACAATAGTGAGACAATATACCATGAAATCAAATAAAAAGTTTGGCGTGACATGGGTATGCAGCCATGGGCAACATGCCCTAGACGAACATGACTGTGACATCCTCCACCACCTAATTGGTTGACATCCTTGTCAACTGACTATTTTTTAATTTAGCCATAAGTCATAAATATACTCTAGGGGCACGTAACATATGTCGAAGAAAAAATGAATTTGCATTACCTATTTCTTAATCCTCTCATCATGCAAATCTATGGACAAGATTGCATAATCGAGGTCACGTGCTCAATAAATCATAAAATTATCGTACAATTCATGCCATGGTCCTCAGAAAATTAACGGAATAGATCAGAGTGTCATTCATATATGCGGAAGACTCTTGATCATGTCATTGGGCTAAATCGTTCAACTACTCAAATTCCCTAGCCATAGCTATCAAACCTCATGCTCAATTTGTTCATTATTCATGCTAAAGCATCATATGCCCAAATCCTAGATGACTAGTATTTCTTGCATAAATTTCCACCTGACTACTTGTTTGTTTGTTGACTTCTTGGTTGAAGCTTTCAATAATTTCAAATTTTCTAAAAATCCTCAATTGGGTCATAAATCGAGTCCATATATCAGCAACATTGAAATCATGACAAAATGAGTCAAAAAGTTTAAATTGAGACTAAAAAAAGGAAATCTAGTTCAATTGGACCAACGTTTGTCCAACTGAACCTATTTTGTTCGGTCCAAATGGACTGGTGAGGTCAGGTTCAAGTGAACTCGTTCACTCGAACCGTCTTCTTCCTCACGATGCCAATCATTCATCTCCTTCAATCGTTAGCATTCCGTCAGCGATACTCGATCCACAAGCAATGATTGTGTAACACCCAAGTCCCCATGAGAAATTGATTATCTGATCTTTTTTCTTTAAAGTTCAAATGTCCATAATTTTATTGGAGTCTTGGAGGTAAAATATAAATAGAATGAAGAAGGGAGAGGAGAGAGAAGAGTGGCATTTTTTCAAGGTTTCTTAAGTCTTTTGACCCATGTCTACAATGTAGCTCTAAAAAGTCTTTTGACCCATCTCTACCTATAGCCCCATAATTTAGATTTTTTATTTTTTTTTATTTTTTTATTTTAGGAATTTGCTTCTTATATTTATTCGGACTTGTTTTTCTCTCCTACTTTTGCATTGGAGTTGACTTTTTTATACAACAAAACATATTATTGTTTGTTTGCTCCTTTCACGTGTTATGTCAACTTGTTATTTAATTGTATTTAGTTGAGATTCATTAATAAAGAAAATTAGCATTAATAAAATGCTCTCAAATTCTTAAATTTAGAATGTAAGGATGATGAAGATATGCATATGTTTCTCAAATTCTTAACAATGAGATTTTCATTTCCTTCCATTAAAACTCTTTTAAATCTAAACTCACCTTTGCTATATGTTTCATGTCGGGTTATTAAGATGTTCGTGAAATATTTTCTTAGTAGAAGATGTTAGTGTCACTACTATTCTAAGAATCCTACCACTAGATTCAATCTACGGTGAGGCATGTTATATTGAGTTTTAATGTGTCGGGCAGGCTCGATGACTAGAAAAGACGGACAAATTTAAAACATAATATACATTATATTTATATTATATCAAAATAAAGTTCATACATAAGTTTTTACAATACAACACAAAAGTTAAACACAAAATAAGGAACCAACATAAGACATTTTAAAATAAAAAGGGGAGGACGACGGGTGAGGCTTGTCTATGGCACCTACTCCAGAGTTTGCTTCCATCCTTTACTAGCTCCTTACTACCTAAAAAACATGGAAAATAAGAAATGAGTACAAAGACTCAGTAAGTAGCCTAATTGTAGGTTCTTAATCGTTTCCTTGATATGCTTGGATATTACACGCATTCTTTTCTTGTTTTTGTTGTAAGTACTTAGGCCCTTTAGTTCTTTTTCTTGACTTGTGGGTTCTTATCATGATCTATCTAGAGGACCTTCGTCCTTGGATCCATAAACCTTGGTTCTAATCTAAGGGTTTTTGTACTATGGTTCTTAGTTCTTGGTTCTTTGTCTTAAAACTTGGATCGTGATTCATGTTCTAGTCTTTGATCTTTGTCTTGTTTTTGGTACTTTCTAGGTTCTTGTTTTGTTTTTGGTTCGTTCAACAAGGCACTCCCCCTATGACTTACTGTATTAGTCATGAACCTGACAACCTGTATCCAAGGCTCATTCATTTCAAGCGACATAGTCTTAACCTATGTCCATGGCTTCATGTGTTCCAAGCGATGTACTCTGAACCCGCATCTTTTGGCTTGCCTTGTGATATAGCCTGAATACCTATGCCCAAGGCTTCAGCCGTTCCAAGTGACATAGTCTGAATACCTTTGTTCAAGGCTTCATACGTTCTAAGCAGCGTAGTCTGAGTCATGAATATGTTGTACCGTGGGAGGTCTTAGGAGCTTTCTTGAGTTTCTGAGTTTTAGGATCCCTTGGTTCCTTATCCTGGAGTATTGGCTAGCATTCTTCTTACCATGGTAGTCGTAAATGTATTGTTCTTGGTTCTCAATCTTGTAAGTTTCTAAGGTTCATAGTTTCTCGTGGCATAAGTTGTATCATGCATTCATAAACATATGAACCCATCATAATACCAAACATGAGTTATTCTAGAAAGTCATAAAGTCATAATGAATTCTTTAGGAGGTTTTAGAAGAGTCTTGAGTCTTGAGGTGTTTCTTGGGTCTTGACTTGGTTTAAGTTCCAAACTTGTTCTAATCAACTTGAAATATCAAACATATCTTCATGTCCTTAAGAATAGACCTTATAGAAAGTAATAGGTCATTTGGAGCACGTATAGACCTTGAAATATCATAAGTAGTCTTAACGTGTTCCAATGGCTTTCAAACTTCACAACATCATCAAACATCATAAAATAAGAACTACTACAAAGTTTCATTACATTTGGAGGTCATTTGGGTCATGAACTGAATGTAAATTACCTTAGGAGCATTAGGGTCATTTTACACTGTTTCTTGGTTACTTACTTATCCTTATCCAATGACGCCAAATTTACGTACATAATCTCAACATGTTATAATAAGCTCAGCATTAAAATTGAATAGGCAGCAGACTTAATTTAGTGGGTTATTTTAACGTTACTTAAATCTCCAGCAATTTGATCAGTTCAAGTCCTTAAATCACGAATTCTTTGAGTTTGTTTTTCATATATCCTTAATTCATACTTGGTTTAGAGTTCATATAGAAATCCAAGCGATTCCTACCGTATGTCTTAAGAAAAGTCCAAGGTGGCTACATACCTCGTTGTCGACGTTCAGGACCTCCGTTCTTGAGCTTACAGTATCTGAATTACCTTAAATTTTATTCCACAGACTTCTTAGTGTGTCTAGTTTCTGGAATCGTAAATTTTTTTATTTTTTTTTTATTTTTATGAAAACTAGTCTTGAAGGGGGGTTAAAATAGAGAAAAATCGAGGGAAGGGATTTTGGGTTGACATGGCCGGTTCAACTGAACCGACCACATCATCGTCTTCTTTCTCTGGATAGGAAGAAGACATGGAGAAAGAAGACATGCACATCCTTTGTGTCACTGTCTGAAACTCGCTTTTTACAACTCCATTATCAGCATTTCTCTGAATAACTAGGGATTGATTTCATCATGGAAACCTCAAGGATTGTCATGACTTGGAGATTAAATTGATTACTACTCACAACTAGATAATAAGGTCCCATCGAGATTTGAACTCAAGTTATTAGATTCAGAGTCCAATGTCCTAACCACGACTCCATATTTACAAGATTGGTCTGTAATAAAGATTAAATTGATTACTACTCACAACTAGATAATAAGGTCCCATCGAGATTTGAACTCAAGTTATTAGATTCAGAGTCCAATGTCCTAACCACGACTCCATATTTACAAGATTGGTCTGTAATAAATCTCCCAACTTTAGAAAATAAATAGTATCTTCATATACTTTAAAAACTTTGAATATGCTTATGTGTCATCATTTTTTCAGTTACAACTCACAAAGAGGAAATAAGTCCCACTGAGATTTGAACTCGGGTTATTATTAGATTCAAAGTCCAATGTCCTAACCACTAGACCATGGACCACAAATAATTATAAGATTTGTACTCACAAAGAGAAAATAGGTCCCACCGAGATTTCAACTCGGGTTATTGGATTCAAAGTCCAAAATCTACCACTAGACCATGGAACCACAAATATTTACGAGATTTGTGTGAAATAAAAATTAAAATCAATTAATCTATTTGCATTAGTTACTACTCACAAATAGAAAATAGATTCCATTGAGATTTAAAACTCAGGTTATTGGATGCAGAGTCCAACGTCCTAACCACTGGACCATGGAACCACAAATATTTATAAGATTTGTGTGTAATAAATCTCTAGACTTTAAAAGATAAATAGTACCTTATTTTGAATTTTAACTATTGTCTTGTATTTCAACTACTTATATATAAAATCTAGTTTAAATAAATTATTGTATATTATGTTTTAGCTCGTCTTTTTAAGCTACCGAGTCAGTCCCAAGGTGAGTTACATCGATTGTGCCTTACTTTTTTGGTACGTTGGGTAGAAATATAGATGAAGAAAGTGGATGATTAAAATGTTCTATACTAGATTTGTGAAAACTAATGGGTAGAGTAGCATCCATGGAAAAAATAAATAAAGCAAATTCCTTAAAGGTGAAAACATAGCTGAATGTATTTCTAAGGTAGCTTGTATGCCTATAGTAGTAGAAAAAATGTCGATAGAGCTTTCAAGTCCCTTTCAACTTCGGTATGGTACTATTCAGCTAGATATGAGGTTGGTTAAGGACGTATAACATGATAGTTTGTTGGATTACCCGGCATAATGGATTCGCCCTATAGGAGTGCGTTGATCATGCAGATAATCAATAATTCCACATGGTGGATCCATCCTGTGGGAAGACGTTCTATCATGTTGGTAGTCTATGGAACTAGCACATACAGGAGGTAGAGCTCCTAACCTTTAATGACTACATGGCCCTGTCGGATGGATTTGCTAGCAACCTCCCATGGATGATGAGCATGATAGCACTCACCATGTTATCTCCACCATGTTATCTCCACCTAATGAGCAACATATCACTCACCATGCTATCCCCACATGATAGAGAGAGTTTGCCTACTACATTGGATACCAGTTACCTTGCGTATGCTAAGCTATCTACCCAAGGCTATGCACAATAAGAGCAATACACCTAGATCCTAGAGTAAAATTTGTGGTCTCCTGTTATGTCAATAATAACAATAAGAGTCTATAAGTAGATTGCTTATGATGTATTTATATATTCACAATTTTTTCCTTTCTTTGTCATAAGAGTCTATAAGTAGATTGCTTATGATGTATTTAAATATTCATTTTTCCTTTCTTTGTCAGGTGTCTATAGGCTGCCAGTTGAGGTAAAGGAGCGTTTGAGAGCTGTTCGGTCACAAAGGGGATCATTCTGGAGCATCAGTTCTTTATTGTATTTCGGTTCTTTTGTATTTTAATTTCTATTCATATCCTGAATTAATTTTTCCGTTTGTAATAAATTGGACAACAACGTGTTCTAGTCGAATTTTATTTTATATTTAGTTTTTTTTATGTTGTCCTTATTTTTATTTAAATTTTATCAAATTTTTGTATTTTATTTTACATTTTTTTGGCTTTTGTCTTTTTAGTATGATTCTTATTTTGAAACTTTGAAATTTGGATTGTGATATATTAGTATAAGAGTAGTCATGTATTGGATTCTATAGGCTTTCTTAGGATATAGAGTCGTACACCTCTAAGACTCAGCTCGACGACATGGCTCACCACATCCCAGTATATAGTCTAACCCTATTTAGTAGTATATGATATGTTGTAAGACCTGTATGAACTTGTTGTATGTTTTTTTTCATGGTAGTTATGATAGCAACCTCAGACATTGAAAAGCGAATGAAAATTTGTGTATCAATGCTCTGGAAGCTTAATGGATGATATCGCCCCATTGAGTATGTGTGATTGTATACATGATTGACTATACATTAGCTCTAGGTGATTGTATGTATGATTGTATACATGATTGACAGTATATTAACTCTAGGTGATTGAATGTGTGATTCTCCTTATAGAGGATAAGTAGTAGAATAGTTTAAGCCTAGAGTGCGTGCGTCAGTTTTGCTAAGTTGTGACCTCGGATGGAACGCCTCTGGTAGTGTCCGAGTGCAATAGAATCGTTAGAGATGATCTGAGGGTGAGACTCCTAGTGCAATTGACTGCACTAAATTTAGGGAGTTAGAAATGAGAATCCTTGAGATTTGAATGTATGTCAAGATCGCCAAACCATCATAAGGACCTAAAAAACCCCATAGCAATCTTGAAGAAAAATAAAGGTAGCTTGTAGGCTGATAACAGCGAGTACAGTGTCTGTAGAGCTTCCACTTCCCTTTCTACTCTAATATTGTTTTGTTGAGCTAAGCATGATACAGGTTAGGGACGTGTGACTTAATACTTTTTTGGATGAGTGTAATACCTCAAATTAGTTGAGATACCCTTAACAAGCCTATGAGATCTAAAGGAATGAGATCTAAAGGAGAGACATAGGGGTTAAGAAGGTTTTGATGGACCTAATCAAGTGAATTAGATAAGCACCAGATTAAAAAAAAGAAAAAGTAAACTTAAAGGGCAAAATTTTCATTTTTATAGTTTTTAATAAATATTCTAGATTTTTTATTTTCTTATAGAGAGGAATTTTAAGGTGGTGACCGAGGAAAAAATGACAAACATGGTGTAAGAAATTTTTAATTGTTTTTTAGAGTTATAGAAAAATAACAATAAAATATTTTAAACAATAATAAATTACCAAAATACCACTGAAGTTTAAGAAAATTACGATAATATCATTGAACAACAAAATCATATATGCTTATTAGGAATTATTAGGAATCATGACTGTACACAATGGTATGATATTGTTAGGTTTTGATATAACCAAGCCAAAAACATAAACAATGGAAGTTTTAAGTGATCATATTATTAAATACTGAAATTGAGTTTTATAGCTTTACAAATAATCAAACTAACCACAAATCTGGTAAATATTTAAATTAAATACCTAAAAATACTCTAATTATTTTGACTTAATCAAATTGTTGTAACAATCCCTCCTTTGAATTTATTTTCTTTCTCAAAAATTAGTTCAAGTCATAAAAACTAGCATACCAAGTTCTTCATGTAACTTTCGAAATGCTTCTAATTTTAGAGGCTTTGTAAACAAATCAGCAAGCTAATTTCGAGTACCACAAAATAACAAATTAACAGTTCCTTTGATTTGAGAATGACCAATTTCTTTGAGTATCCTCTTGATCCAAACAACTTGACATGCACAGCCACTAGCAACAATAAAAACTCAGCTTCTATGGTTGATAAGATGGCTAAAGGCTGCTTACAAGAAGACCAAGCTACTACTCCTCCACTCATCATAAACACATAGCTTAAAGTACTCTTGCTATCTTCCCTGTCTCCACCATAGTCCACTATCAGTAAATCCAATTAAATCACTAACTCCTCCCTTTCTATAAAATGCACCATAATCTATCGTACCTTTCAAGTACCTTAAAACTCTTTAAACCTCTTTTAGCTGCTGCAAAATGTTGTTGGGTTGGGCATGCGAAAACGACTAATCAAACTTACAACAAACATGAGATTAGGACAAGTAGCTGTGAGATACATCAGACTTCTCACTATTTGTTTATACAAAGTTACCTCTACTTTTGCATCATTTTCATCTTTGCCAATTTTCTGTCCTGGAACAATAGGATTACAAACATAATTATAATTCTTTATGCCAAATTGATTTAAAACTTCAACAGCATATTTTCTGTAATACCCGAAGAAAGAGAAATAGAAATAGAAAAAGAAAAAAAAATAGGAAAAGTCGAGAGGGACAAATACGTAAATTTGCCCCTCCAACCACCTCTGGGGTCCAAATGAAACCCCAACCAGTGTCGTGCAGAAGAGAAATAGTGAGAGAAGAGAAATAGTGAGAGAAAGGGGTAGAGAGAACCTAGAGAGAGGAGAAATAATGAACCGCTGGAAGACTCATCGAAAACTACCATCGGAGTCTATTCCGGTGAAGATCATGATGCAAGTTAGTGAAGATCATGATGCAAGGAGCCTTTCTTGGAAGGGAAAAGAGAATATGGGTGGCCGAAGTCCCATTTTTCATCAAGAAATTGGAAAACCCGCAAGGTAAGGATCTTGAACGTTTTCTCAGATCTACGATTTTCCTTTGTGAATCAAGATCTAAAATCTTAATATATTCATCTAGGAACAACTCTACGCATGATCTATGAAGAAGTTTGGCCGAGACCTCAACCCGAAGGTGGAGATCCGAGAGTCGTCCGAGAACGATGAGCGAAATTCCGACCTTCTTAACTCATCCGGTAGTTAAGCAAAAATTACGAAAAAATACGAGGACGTAGCCCGTAACATGATCTAAAACTTTGCCGAATGAATCATGTCGATCCGATCTACGGATCGAAAGATATGAAAATTGGAAAAGAGGGTTGTGTTTGGGTTTTCAGAGGGCAGAGAAGAAAGAAGAAAAAAAAAAAAAAAAAAAGGAGTCGGCCGGCGAGCGGCGGACGGCGGCGACAGGCGCCGGACACGCGTCAACCATCGGCTGGAGCAATGCAGCTCCAGCGAGACATCGACACGTGTTGCCTACAAGTCGGGCCAAACCGCGACGCGAGTCGAGCCAACCGGACCGGCCGACCCGCGACTATGCGGAGGCGGGCGCACATGCAGCCTGCGACTAGCGCCTTCCCGCGCGCGTGACCACGCACTCCTAGCACGCTGCTGGCACGTGAGCGCGCTGGGACGGCCAATTTGGCCCAGTTGCTTTCTGTTTGCCCGATTTTTGTCCCGGTTCCAGTTCTAATACTGTTTTTACGTGAATAGGGACCTAATTTAAAGAAATCAGTATTTTTGGATACCTCACGAGCAAAGAGACGCTAGCAGAAAGAGCACGCGTCAACCAAGTAAGTCACCACTCGGTATTTAGGAAAAAATACTTGTAGGGTTCGCTTGGATTGTATGTATACATGTTAGTAATTTTGCCTTAAATTAGCCTCCATGAATGAGATTAATCAGATGGATTATTATGATGTGATGGGTGAATTATTGAGTGTTGCTTGTATGCCTTAAGCTTCCGTTGTACGTATGCATGCGTTTCATTTATGTTGGAATTGTGTATTCCGTGTTCCGGATGCTCGATGGATGAATTCGCCCCATTGAGTGCGAACTTTGTGTTTTGGATGCTGGATGGAGGCCACCGCCCCGTTGAGCCGGCGTGCCTAGTTTGCATGAATATTAGGATGTTAGAAGACGGTTGCATGCACACTCCGTTATTTTCTAGTGCCCATTTCTAAAATAAGCTTAGGGGGTTATCGTTAGGAGCGATATGTCGCTTTAGCCAAACTTAACTTTCCCCTAGGAACTTTGCTGATTACCATGGCAACAAGGTGCCTTAGGAGTGTTCTTAGATTGCTAGTGTCAGAACGGTATCTATAGCTTTGTGGGAGGACCAAGGGTCCCCGATCAGTCCTTACTGCTCTTAGCCATTTTGCATGGGAAATGTGTCCCCACGTCATACAGCCCATTAGCTGCATGGTTACGGGTTGGGTCGCGCCCCCCATAGGAGGACTATGTGGGCGTAGGGGTATTCAGCACACCCCTAGGCTAGGTACCATATAGTCCTAGATAGCCATGTAGAGGTAGCACCTCATAGAGAGATACCGACCACATTAGCTTGGCATAAGGAACCTCTAGGTGACTAATGAAAGAGCGATGAACCGGTGAAACCCAAGGGGCAAGCCCCAAGAGACTAAGGTTAGAACCCGATGTCCTAGAACCGAATTAGGAAACCGTGGGAGTTTTGTTAAATTAAGATGCGAAGAGAGCCTGCAAGTAGGTGGCTTACTGAGTATAATTTGTATACTCATCCCGTTCTCCTTTATTTTTCTCAGGTGTTCGCTGGCTGCTGGTCGAGGTAGAGGAGCGTTTGAGAGCTGTACAGTCACAGAGGGGGTCGTTCCGGAGCGTCTGTCCCTTGTCGGTCTTTAGAGTCTTTTGTATTTTTTCTTAATAATTGTATTTCAGGTGGAAATATTGGTTTTAATTTTGTATTCGTAATTTCTTTTTATTAATTTGAAACAAAATTTTTCTCTATTTTGTTTTAATTAAATGACATTTTTACCTTTTACTTTACTATTTATTCCTTTTTGTTTGTTTTCGATTTCATCTTTTTAGTCACGACTCCGCTTTTCGAAACCTCGAAAATCGGGTCGTGACATTTTCTTTTACATATAAAAATACCATTTAATTTTTTTATTACCTCTATTCCAAGAAAAAATCTCATCTGACCTAAGTTAGTCATATCAAACTCTTTCTTCATGGAACGTTTAAACTCCTCCAATAATTCTTCATCGTCTCCAGTAAATAAAAGATCATCAACATAAATGCTTACAATAAGAATTTTACCTCCCTGCCTCTTGATGAAGAGTGTTTGCTCACTCGAACTGCTTTTGAATCCTTCCTTGATGAAGTAGAATTCTATTCGACTAAACCAGGATCTAGGTGCTTGTTTTAATTCATAGAGAGTCTTTTGGAGTTTGTACACCATCTTCTCACTTCCCTTTTTCTCCTAGCCTTTTGTTTGTTCAACAAAAATACCTTCTTTTAACTCGCCATATAAAAAAGTTGATTTGACATCTAACTAATAGAGTTTCCAACCTTTTTGAACGGTAAAAGCAATGATCATTCTCACAGTATCCATTATGGCCACAGATGCCTACACTTCCATATAATCAATTGCATGCTCTTGTGTGTAGCCTTTTACAACCAATCTTGCTTTGTATTTATCAACTTTTCCAAACTCATTTAGCTTGGTTTATAAATCCATTTCACTCCTATTTTCTTTGCACCAGCCGGTAGAACCACCAAATTCCATGTTTGATTTTTTTCAATTGATTTGATTTCTTCTCCATAGCCAATCTCCATTTTAGGCTTTTGACAGCTTCCTCAAAATTCACAGGATCTGAAATCATCAAGAATGTCATATTTTCTTCATCCTCTTCAGATAAGCCTTCACCGGAATTACAATCTGCTAACCATACAGGTGTTTGTGGATTTCTTCCCTCCCTTATTGTCAAATCTAGTGCAAGAAATTTTTTTTTAGCAACTGGTTCAATTGTTTCAGCAACCGGTTTAGTCGTTTCCTCTATGATTGAGACTCCTTCGGCTATGTTCTTATCAATTTCAATTTGTTCCCCCAATCCAATTTTTCGTTGCTCTCCATTTACCCATTTTTGGAAATGAAGTCCGATGTTGCTTGTCTTTCATACTTGCCTCACAGGTGGTGTTTGGAGCTACATTTTGCGGCAAGCCTTTCACCATGTTTTATGTTTCAAAGTGCACAAGCCTTTGTAGCCGAGATGACCAAAACGATGGTGTCAAAGTGTTTATTGATCCGTATTTGAAACTTGGAAACATCTTTCTTCATTTATTGTGGTAGATGGTTCAGTACACAAAATAAACTACCGATTTGCGCTCATAATTGACTCTGCTATTTTTTCTTTTTGTGGATGATAAATGCTACATACACCATTTTTAAACAGCACTGCTACTTCTTTTTCTTGTAGTTGTCCAACGCTCAAGAGATTATTTTTGAGTTCAGGTACCCAATACACATTACTAATAGTGCAGCGAATCCCATGCAAAGTTAATTACACTATACCCTTTCCTATAATTTTGATACTTGTATTATTTCCAAGTTTGACAATGTGAAAAAATGTCTTGTCTAAGCTTGAAAACATACCTTCACTTGCACACATATGGTTTGAGTAACCAGAATCTAAGAACCAAACATCACTCCTTTTTGCTTCATGTCTTTCCGTATGAGCCATTAACAACATTTCATCCTCTTCTTCCAGCTTTTCATAATTCAATTCCTTATTCATCTTTGGACATTCATATTGAAAATGACCTAAGTCATGACACCTATAACATTCAACAGTTGCTTTGTTAAAAGTTGGTCTTCCTCTTCCGCGTCCTCTGCCCCTATAAGTTCCTCTTCCTCTATTACTTATTTTCGTTCGTCCTTCGACTTTTAGAACTTGCTCCTCTCCCTTAATGATGGATCTTCGAAATTTTTATTCATGCACCACTAATGAACTTTTTAATTCATCAATGGACATGTTATTAGTATATTTTGATTCCTCAATAGATACTACAACATAAGTAAATTTTTCAGTCAGGGTACGCTGAATTTTTTCTACAATTTTCTTGTTTGGCATATCTTCTTCATTACTTCTCATCTTGTTGGAGATTATCATCACTCTTGCAAAATAATCTGTGATACTTTCATCCTTCTTCATCTCTAGGATCTTAAATTCTCTCCTTGATGCATTGAGAAGAGATTTATTCACTTTTTGGTTTCCACCAAATTTTGGCTTCATTGAGTCCCCAACAATCTTGGCTGTGCAACAATCCAAGATTTTTTCAAAGACATTGCGATCAATGCCTGGAAGAGGTAATGCTTTACTTGGTAATCTTTGAGTCTAGCATCATCAAGGTGGCCCTTTTGTGCCTCAGTCAACATTGTTCCTTCCTCTAGTTCTTGAGAAACCAATCTCCACCACACTCCATAGACTCTTTGCTCTGAGCAAATTTTCCATCAACTCACTCCAATAATCATAGTGACCATCAAGGTGAGGGATCTTCGCTAAAGTTTTGTCTTCACTCATACTCTCCCTATTTGATCACTCACGAGGTGAGGGATCTTCGCTAAAGTTTTGTCTTCACTCATACTCTCCCTATTTGATCACTCAAAAATTGTGGCTCTGATATCAATGGTTAGATTTTGACATAACAAAGCCAGAAACATAAACAATTGAAGTTTGAAGTGATGATATTGAATACCAAACTTGGGTTTTATAGCTTTACAAATAACCACTAACATAAATCTTGGAAACAAATCTATAAAATATTTAAACTAAATACCTAAAAATACTCTAACTATTTTAACCTAATCAAATTCTTCTAACAATACTACAGTGCCTGATTGTACAAAATCAACCATATCTTAAAATCCAGAATCTTCACTAAATTTGTTTGTTCTAGAAAACACAAATTCATCAAATTCAACGGTTGAAATTCAAAATGAAGGTTGGCGAGCCCCTGATTGAAGAAAATATTTTCAGCGAAAAATCTAGAAAATTGAGTCACAAATTCACGACGATTCTGGAGGTTTAATATCAGTTTAAGCTCCCTCTATAAAGTATAAAATAAGAGCTTTCATTTGGCATAAGAATCAAGCATCAGTGTGTCCCCAAACTTAAGTTACAAGCCTTTACTTTTTTGGTATAATTTTCTTAGATTTCATCAAAATTCGTGAGCTATAGTTCACCATTTACTTTCAAACTTGATTTTGTTGGTTATACACTTGTTTTTTTTTTTTTTTTGGTTCATATTTTTTTTTTTTTTTGTTAAAAATAGCAGTTAGTATTTATTTTATTTTTGTTGTTTATTTCACCATAAAAAAGAGGTTCGAGATATCGTGACAGGAAGAGTGGAAGTAGTGGAAGTAGTGGAAGTAGTGGAAGAATAGAACTAGTTTTGAGGGAGTGGAATTAGTTAAAGGAGTGGTTGCTGATTTTCGGCAAGAAATGTGTTAGTTTTTATTATACAAGGAAAATTGTGTCAAGTTAGTAAAACACCATAAAAAGAGAGAGATCAAAAAATGAGACAGGAATCGAGTGACAGGAGCCAAAGCACCTGCGATAGAAGATGATGCCTCAAACAAAGTGAGTGTATAGATTCAAGAAAAGGAGAGATTTGTCACACTCAAATACCCGATGTTGACAAAATGCAACTATGCAGCTTGGGAAATTAAGATGGAGGTATTTATGATGCCACAAGGTATTTGGGAGGCAATTGAATCACTCGAAACAGTAGACAACAACAAAGATAAGATGGCTTTAGCAACCATTTATCAAAGTATTGGAGAAGATACGTTGCTACAGTTGGGTACAAAGAAAACGACCAAAGAAGTCTAGATCATGTTGAAAATATGAATCTAGGTGTGGTAAGAGAGAAAGAAGTTAGAACGCTGACTCTCTGGCGGGAGTTTGAAGTGTTGAGGATAGGTAATTCAGAAAGTATTGATGAGTATTATGGAAATCTCACCATTATTGTCAACAAATTAAGAGGCCTCGGCAATGCTGTGAATTATCTCCAAGTAGTTAAAAAACTTTTACGATCCACCTCTGCAAAGTTTTTTCAAATCACTTCGACGATTGAGGAGTTCAGTGATCTCAAAACGAAATCGGTTGATGAGATTATTGGATCACTCAAGGCACATGAATAAAGGTTGCAAGGGTTTGGAGAAAAAGATGAAACCATTTTCCTCACTTGTGTAGAATGGATGGGACGAGAGAATGCAAAATCCTCAAAGAAAGAACGGAAGAATCAAGAAAGTTCTTGAGGATGCAGGGGACGGGGTCATGAAAGATGGAGAGGCCGTGGGAGAAATGATTGGTATCGAGGAGATGAAGGAGAGTCACAAACTCAAAAGAAGAAGTTCGACAAAAGTAAAATTAAATGTTACAGGTGTCAGCATATGGGACACTTCGCATCAGAGTGTTCCACAAAAGAGGAACAACTCAACTTGATAGAGATGCAAAAGGATGAGGAGTCTTCATTGCTGATGATAGAGGCATGTGAAATTAAAACAACACATGACAAAGAAGCATGATTTTGTGATGTTGAATGAATCTATAGTGCCGCCACCAGCCAATATTGGAGCTGAAAATTCCTGGTACCTAGATACTGGAGCAAGCAACCACATGTCATGAGAAAGGAGGGTGCTTCGTGAGCTCGACACATCTGTTGTTGGGTTGGTACGTTTCGGTGATAACTCTATAATAGACATTTGTGGTCGAGGAATAGTGCTCTTCAAATGCAAAACCGATGATCACTTGATTTTATCGAAAGTCTATTACATACCCAAACTCAAAAGCAATATAATAAGTTTAGGACAACTGGACGAGAGTGGAAATATAATTGTCATAGAGGACAACATGATGAGGATATATGACAGGGCCAGAAGCTTGATTATT